AATAATATATAAATATTATATAAAAATAATATAAAAAATTATCTTTATCTCATCGCGATTCTTGTATAGCAATAAGTGGCCCCCGCGATTGGCCTCACTGCATTGTTAGACTAGGCAAATAATTCACCACGGCCCATCGACACGATTAACCTGTCGTATGCTCCACTTGCTTTACACCTTTTTTATTTTATTTTTAATTACCTTTGCTTTTGGAGTCCGGAATGCGAGTATTAGTCAAATTTGGCTTCCTCGATATTTGACTAATTTAATTTGATTGATTTGTACTAATCTAAGTTTGTATGGTGATCTTCGATCATGTTATGTGGATGATCAAAACATTTTTTATTTTTTTGAGAGGCAGATGATCAAAATAATTACAATAGGCAAAAACAAATGGAAAATTTTCTTTATGGTATATCTATTAGATTTTTTTTATTATTATTCAGTATAGATGTAATTTATAATTTTATATAAGTAAAAATATTTTAATAAAATTTATTATAAATGCTTTAAGAATTTTTATAATATTTATAATATTTTTTAGATGTAATAATTAAAATATTAAATTTTTATTAATATTAATTAAATAAATTACTGTAAAATTAAAAAATAACAATCAAAACTCTCTCTATATAATTTTCTCAATAATTTATTTCATCATTAGAGGTGAAGATATTTTATTCAATTTTAAATCACTCGATATTTAAAATAAGTTTTGTTGATTAATTCAATTAAAATTTTTCACTTTGATTAATGATAAAAGATTTTTTTTTGCTTAAAAAGATGAAAAGAAATTTGTTAATTGAATAAACTATATTAAAAAAATTTAAATTTTTAGTAATCAAAACTAAAATTTTGAATTAGATTTAGTTATTAAAATAAAAATCATTAAGTAAAGTACTAAAAGACCAAGGAGGGAGTTTCACTTATTGTTCTTTTTAAAAATTTTAATATTTATTTAATTAAAATTAATAATTACTTAATACTTTAATTATTTACCAAAAAAGGACTATTATAAACCTTTAAAAAAAATTTAATATACTTATGAAAGATTTAGTTAAAATATTTTTATTTATATAAAATTTAAAATTCGGTTTTCCTTAATTTAAATGAAAAGTCTGATAAATCTAAAAAAAATTTTCAAACAAATTTATATGGTAATATTTAATTATGTGACATCTTCATATTAGCTGTTGCTGAGCACTGAAGTCTCTCAAAATCAGTACGATACAAAGTGATGGTATCATCTTTAAGATTTTTTTTTTTTTTTTGACCAGGTAGATAGTTAGGAAGTTAGTAGAGTTAGTTTGTTAGTAGCTGGAATTTTTCAGGATGGTGAACGTTCCACCCCTCATATGAGGCACGCGACCATTAGGTTGCAAGTTGGTGGAGTTCACGGCGGTGGCAGGGCTCGAAGCCCTGACCTCTGCCTCACCCAAACCCTAAGGCTTGGGACCAACCATTGAGCCTCAGGCCCGGTTGGTGGTATCTTCTTTAAGATTGCTAAGGTCACACACCCAATTTATCATGTTAGTTAAATGCTGCATACCACACCATCTCTCTGAACCTTTGAAAGCGTCTGTTGTTATGGCATTTTTTTAATATACCTATAGCCGCACTAAAATAAGCCTTCGAGAATGCCTCCACACAAACCTACAAAGACTCGAGTGGATCTCGATGAGTTTGCGTAAACCTCTTAAAGAGAGAAAGAGCTTTTATAGAGAGAATCACCTTATAAATAGAAGAGCCTCTAGGTACCATGTGTCATATCTTCATTGATTATCATGAATCCCCCATGGCACTTATGTTTACGAGCCTCTATACATGTTTGGATGGCTTCATTTAGGCTTTACTTGGGCGTCTCTTGAGATTAATATAGGCTTGCATTTTTACTCTTACAAATTACAATACCTTTTCCAAATGACATCCTAAATAGGAAAACGACAAAAAAAAAATGAAAAGGAAATTTCATTTCAAAGGCATACCTTTGCTGCAGCCATTTACAAAAAGAAGAAGAAGAAGAATGGGGAAGCTATGCAACAGCCATTTTGATTGAATGAAGTTTAAGAAGAGATATGTAAATGCAACCAACTGAAATGCATATTACAAGAAAGCCAAAGACGCGGGTGCAGTAACATAAGTACCAAAGGAAATTAGATAGA